ATTATCTGGTGTATAATTTGCTATAAAACTTGAGACTGAGACAGAACTTTTTTCAGTTTTATTTATTTGATAATCATTAGTTTGAAAATGGAACTACAATTTGCTTGAACTGCTTTCATGTTCAGTAGAAAAAGTTTTCATTTGTATTTTTTTTAAACTTGAGTACAGAATATTGATTAAAGTTATTTAATTATCAATTAAAAATAGTCATATAAAAAATAACTTGATATACAAATAAAACTTTAATTGTTTTTTAAATTTATTTGTTTTATTTATAACATATAAAAACATGCCAAAAAAAAATTAAATAGTAAATAAGATATATACCTAATTCATTTAAACTGCTTGCAGTGCTACTCTTAACTTTAATTGCTTTTAAAAGTCTTGCTTTACATCTTGTTAAAAAAACTTTAGTAAATTTTATTGTGTTCTTTTGTTTTTCTCATAACAATATTTCTTGCAAAAAATAAAAATGGCTACTTTAAAAACTATTCAAACAAATCAAAATATCTTTATATATATACAGGAGTTTTGATAAAAAGCTCCAAGACACTTTCCCTATAAAAAAGATAGTAAGCTGCTGAAGTTTGATAGTCATTTCAGCATCCGAAACCGTATAATCAGCTATTAGTGTAGCAAGGCGATGGCAATTATTTGTACAAGATCACGTTAAGTTGCCTTATTATATTTTTAGAATATTTTATTCAAAACAGAATTTTTGTAAAAATCGTGTTCTAGAATAAATAGCGTTTTTGCTGAAACTCCAACCTGACTACTAATATCAGCCAAACCTAACAACTTTTTTTTAATTGTATCTTTAGGAATTAAGACAGGAGAGGAACAACTAAACCCACTTCCAGACTGATAATTAATCTTCATTCTACATTCTAATTGATTTTCAGATAATGCATTTTTTATTCTTTGTTCATTTAATCATATATTGTTCAAGGCATTTTTATTTTCTTTACTTATAAGTCTTGCAGGTATGCCAACTTGCCTACCATAAAATATAGTTAACTTGATACAATCATAGTTTCTTAATTTAACAAAGGAAGGTGAATGTGTTATTTCCTATTTCCTAGTTAGTCTTGCTTTCTATTTAGTCTTGTTTTCTATCTTGTATTCTATTCTATACCAGTAGTCATGCATTCTCCTAACTAAACCATTGTAGATCACAAATATAAGAGTGTTTTATCTACTACAATATGGCGAACAAAACTATCTTGTCAACTGTTAAATAAGTAATAATAACTATCTTGTAATATATAGATCTAATTACTATACTAATGTGTCTAATAACTAATTATAAGACACTTGTATATTACTAGTAATTATTAGTTATTAGACATTAGTTATAGATAGTATTATTCTGTATGATACAGTCGTTATAGTTTAGGCAGGAACAACTTTATAGAGTTTAAGACTGTTAACAGTCAAAAACTCTTTATAGTTATTCCTGCCTAAACTATAATACCTGTACCATAAAGATTAATACTGCTAGTAATACTAGCAGTACTAATCTGAACGCATATTAGAAGTCAAATACACTAGTATTATATTAGACTTCTAATAGGTTGTCTAGTTTACTATATAGCAATAATATTTCCTTCATAAAAGCACTTAAATATTTCGAAAAATAGAAAAAAGTTTTAAAATAAGATTCTTAAAGTTAGTGTAAAAAAATAAAAAGGTTCAGCTACAATATAAACAAACAATATAAACATACAAAATTTTCAAAATAAAGAAATCAAAACAAAAACATTCATAAAAAACAACAAGTTTCCGGGAAAAGCGACTCCGCATGGTAAGGAAATTCGTTTGAAATACGAGAAAAATGGAAATGACTTAAAATAAAACTGTATATCTCCTATATTTCATATATATGTTGTATTTGCAATGATATCCGTTAATAAACTCTCAAAACTTTAACTGAGTGACAGAGAAAACATTTTTAACTCCATAACAGCATGATATATACAGTTTTACTTCATAATTTTCAAGATATTAAGTGCCGTCGACCTTACGTCGATATTTTGAATTTGTTTACATATATAAGCTTAAAATGAGATATTTAAAAAAATACTCATCGACGGCAGTTAAAAAAAAAAAAATTTGTATTTTTAATCAAAAACTACTATATTTCATTGAAATAGAAAAAAAAAACTTATAGGTATAACTGAATTTGGTGAAACTAAGATAAAAAACGTTAGGTCGACTCAATTTTGTCGACTTTCCACTCAAGTCGACTTTCCGTGGAAATTTTTTACACGATTTGGCGACTTTAAGGCGATCTAGTCATATATATATATATATATATATATATATATATATATATATATATATATATATATATATATATATATATATATATATATATATATATATATATATATATATATATGATTTGTTGTATATATATTGATTATATATATTACGCAGTTGTTGCTTTACATATTTCAAACAATATTAAAATTTCAAATTTCAAATTTTTTCAAATTTCAGTTACAAGCATTGGTAAGACTTTTCGTGTTTAGGTCTTTTTGAATATTAGATACAATAATAGATAAGGTAAAGTTGTTTTAAAAATATTCTTTAAAAGATATCATTACAGAGGTTTCTATAAATCAAAAATATAGGTAGTTTATGTATATAGTTTTGATTAGCATTTAATTATTGCATTGTTGTATAGGTTTGAATAATTTTTTAAAGTATGAAATATTTGAAATTCTAAATTCTTTTTGACTCCTCAATTGTTCATGTTTTTTGGTTTTGTTTTTGGATAAAATAATTAGAAAATGCCTAAAAATACATGTATTTTTCAATTAAAATGGCTTGTTGACAGAAAAGACGGAAACTGTTATGATTTTCAGTTATTGTACTACAAACATTAATATTGCTATCATAGAAAAAGCTGCTTTAACTTCGCACATGGAAGGTAAAAAGCACATAGAGAGATCTCCTTCTGCAAACAATATCAAGCCATTGATGCCAACTGCTACTAACACTGTTTTAGTTAATGAGTTTATGTCAAAATGCTCAAATAAAGCAGAACATCAAAAAAAATAATTATAAAATGCTAATAAATACATATACGCTAGAAGCTGAAGTTTGTTGGATTCTTAATATTGTTTATTCTAAATATTTAATGAATTCTTCAGCTGATTCTGGTAAATTATTTTGTAAAATGTTTCCAGATAATCATTGCTAAGTTGTTTCAATGTGGACCCACCAATGCCAGTTATGTTGAAACATTCGGATTAGCTTACCTTATTAAAAACGAGTTGCTCACTTTCCTATCTAATACATCTTATTACGCTGTTACAAAAGGAAATCAAGGATTTGTACAATCAAAAGATGATTTACAAGAAAAAAAGATGATTCATGAAAATTATAAATTCACTGCTAAATCGTAAAAGTATATTTTTGTAGTTATAGAGTATATTTTTGAGTTATAGTTATATGAGTTATATATTTTGAGTTAATTATGTAGTTATAGAGCATATTTTTGTAGTTATAGAGTTTTAGTTTTTGTTTTGTTGTTTAGCTAAAACTGTATTTATATTATGAGTATTTGAAATGATTAAGATGTTTTTGAAATTAGTTGCATTGAAAGTTTCCTTTCAAATAAAAAATAGTTTCTTGTTAAATTTTATTTGAATTTACATTTAGTTATTCAGTGCTTGTAGCTATATTTAAGTAGCTGTAATATATTTCTTTATTCTACATTTGATTTCTAAATTAATTTACATTTAGTAGCGTATTTTGTGTTATCTTTGGGCTATCTATAAAAAAGTCTATAAAAACTTTTTATATTGTACGTCCTAGAAATAATAAAGCAAATATTCTGGTAAAAGAAAAAAGTTGTCCTGGGTAATCCTGGAATTTCAATAGTTTTTTCTGGTGTGAACCCTGTTCAAAACAAAATTCCTTTGGATTAACTAAGGAGGGCCTCTTGTCTAGATGCTTTTCTTTGTTGATCCAGAGATTATAGCAAAAAAATTTATATTTAAAGATATAGCACAGCTAATCTAATATTGAACAGTTCTATAAATTTATATATAAATCAATAAAACTGCATCAGCCTTGCAAAGATTTATCAGTAGTATAAATGTTAGTATATAAAAATAATGATAAGCTACAGTATTGTGCAAATTGATTGCATCAAAAAAAAAAAATTTTATTTATTTGTTGTTTCATTTTTATTTGTTTGTTAATTAGTCAAAAGTAAATTTTTAAAAAAAGGCCGACGGGTATTTCAGGCACACCCTTTAGTATGTCCGTAAAAAATGCTAATACAAAACAAGTATTGTTGAAAACCCTTACCCATACCCTTACCAAATCTCAACCCTGAAAGTTAGGGTTACGCTCTGGGTTTGGTTTGCGTTCCTTGTATGTTACCGCAGGGCCTCATGTGGTGCCTTACACTACTAATGCAATTATTGATCAATAATACAAAATGCGTTTATTGACTTCACAATCATTATACATTTTCATCATCCAAAAGATAGTATCATATTGCAATATCTGTAACACGAAAAGTATCATTAATATGGGCAATCATAAGGTTGTTACAGGTTGCACAAAATGCTTTAGATATGTTCAGAAACTAATGGTAAAAGCACCAAAAACAACAGCAAATTATTGCCTAACTTATAGATCTTATTTCTGACTAAATATAATGATATCATTAACACCGAACTAAATAATTCAACAATAAATCATTTAATATTTTATATAATTAATTTTATTTTCTTGTATTATTCATTTAGAATTATATAGACTATTGCATGAAACGTTTAATGTAAATATTACTCACTATATATTAATATATGGAATAATTCTTAAGAATCAAATAATTAAGCTGAGATGTCGTCAGGTAACATTTCAATAATTACTCTCTTTTGTTACTTATCAAATCATTCATTGCATATACATCGATTGTTAAAAGTAATCTAGTTCTAATTTTGTTATAGAAGAGTCGGAGCCGACTCGCTTAAGATCATGTGAACCAAAGAAAAGTATAAAATTTTCTATTCACAGTATTTTAAAGAAATTACTTTATTATGTATCATCTTTTTGTAATTACATTTTGTACTTAAAATAATGTTTTTATAACAATTGTTATAACCTTTTAGAATTGAAGAAAAGGGAAGAGGTTTTGTCGTCAGGTAAAAAAAAACAACAAATAAATAATTACTCTCTTTTGTTACTTATCAAATCATTCATTCCATGTACATCGATTGTTAAAAGTAATCTAAGTCTAATTTTGTTATAGAAGAGTCGGAGCCGACTCGCTCAAGATCATGTGGATCAAAAAAAAAATATAAATTTTCCTATTCACAGTATTTTTTAAGATATTACTTTATGATGTATCATCTTTTACATTTACTTTTTTTACTTAAAATAATGTTTTTATAACTATTGTTATAACCTTTTTGAATTGAAAAAAAGGGAAGAAGCTTTGTCGTCAGGTAAAAAAGAAAACAAATAAATAATTACTCTCTTTTGTTACTTATCAAATCATTCATTGCATGTACATTGATTTTTAAAAGTAATCTAGTTCTAATTTTGTTGTAAAAGAGTCGGAGCCGACTCGCTCAAGATCATGTGGATTAAAAAAAAGTATAAATTTTCCTATTCACAGTATTTTTTAAGATATTACTTTATGATGTATCATCTTTTTGTAATTACATTTTGTACTTAAAATAATGTTTTTATAATTATTGTTATAACCTTTTAAAATTGAAGTAAAGGGAAAAGGTTTTGTCTTCAGGTTAAAAAAAAACAAATAAATAAATACTCTCTTTTGTTACTTATCAAATCATTCATTTCAAGTATCTTAATTGTTAAAAGTAATCTAGTTCTAATTTTGTTATAGAAGAGTCGGAGCCGACTCGCTCAAGATCATGTGGATCAAAATAAAGTATAAATTTTCTTTTTCACAGTATTTTTTAAGATATTACTTTATGATGTATCATCTTTTTGCAATTACATTTTGTACTTAAAATAATGTTTTTATAATTATTGTTATAACCTTTTAGAATTGAAGAAAAGGAAAGAGGTTTTGTCGTCAGGTAAAAAAAAAAAAACAAAAAAAAAATTACTCTTTTTTGTTACTTATCAAATTATTAATTGCATGTACATTGATTGTTAAAAGTAATCTAGTTCTAATTTTGTTATAGAAAAGTCAAAGCCGACTCGCTCAAGATCATGTGGATCAAAAAAAAGTATAAATTTTCCTATTCACAGTATTTTTTAAGATATTACTTTATTATGTATCATCTTTTACATTTACTTTTTTTACTTAAAACAATGTTTTTATAACTATTGTTATAACCTTTTAAAATTGAAGAAAAGGGAAGAGGTTTTGTCGTCAGGTTAAAAAAAAAACAAATAAATAATTACTCTCTTTTGCTACTTATCAAATCATTCATTGCATGTACATTGATTGTTAAAAGTAATCTAGTTCTAATTTTGTTATTGAAGAGTCGGAGCCGCCTCGCTTAAGATCATGTGGATCAAAGAAAAGTATAAAAATTTCTATTCACAGTATTTTAAAGGTATTACTTTGTTATGTATCATCTTTTTGTAATTACATTTTGTAATTAAAATAATGTTTTTATAACTATTGTAAAAACCTTTTAGAAATGAAGAAAAAGGAAGAGGTTTTGTTGTCAAGTGAAAAAAAAAACAAATAAATAATTACTCTTTTGTTACTTATCAAATCATTTATTTCAAGTACATCAGTTGGTAAAAGTAATTTAGTTTTAATTTTAATATAGAAGAATCGGAGCCGACTCGATCAAGATCATGTGGATCAAAGAAAAGTATAAAATTTCCTATTCGCAGTATTTTTTAAGATATTACTTTATGATGTATCATCTTTTTGTAATTACATTTTGAAATTAAAATAATGTTTTTATAATTATTGTTATAACCTTTTAAAATTGAAGAAAAGAGAAGAGGTTTTGTCGTCAGGTTAAAAAAAAAACAAATAAATTATTACACTCTTTTGTTACTTATCAAATCATTCATTTAAAGTACATTAATTGTTAAAAGTAATCTAGTTCTAATTTTGTTATAGAAGAGTCGGAGCCGACTCGCTCAAGATCATGTGGATCAAAAAAAAGTATAAATTTTCTTTTTCACAGTATTTTTTAAGATATTACTTTATGATGTATCATCTTTTTGCAATTACATTTTGTACTTAAAATAATGTTTTTATAATTATTGTTATAACCTTTTAAAATTGAAGAAAATGATAAAGGTTTTATCGTCAGGTTAAAAAAAAACAAATAAATAATTACTCTCTTTTGTTACTTATCAAATCATTCATTTCAAGTACATCAATTGTTAAAAGTAATCTAGTTCTAATTTTGTTATAGAAGAGTCGGAGATGACTCGATCAAGATCATGTGGATCAAAGAAAAGTATAAAATTTCCTATTTGCAGTATTTTTTAAGATATTACTTTATGATGTATCATCTTTTTGTAATTACATTTTGTACTTAAAATAATGTTTTTATAACTATTGTTATAACATTTTAGAATTGAAGAAAAAGGAAGAGGTTTTGTCGTAAGGTAAAAAAAAACAACAAATAAATAATTACTCTCTTTTGTTACTTATCAAATCATTTATTTCAAGTACATCAGTTGGTAAAAGTAATCTAGTTCTAATTTTTTTATAGAAGAGTCGAATATGACTCGATCAAGATCATGTGGATGAAAGAAAAGTATAAAATTTCCTATTCGCAGTATTTTTTAAGATATTACTTTATGATGTATCATCTTTTTGTAATTACATTTTGTACTTAAAATAATGTTTTTATAATTATTGTTATAACCTTTTAAAATTGAAGAAAAGGGAAGAGGTTGAGCCGACTCGCTCAAGATCATGCGGATCAAAAAAAAGTATAAATTTTTTTTTTCACAGTATTTTTTAAGATATTACTTTATGATGTATCATCTTTTACATTTACTTTTTTTACTTAAAATAATGTTTTTATAACTATTGTTATAACCTTTTAGAATTGAAAAAAAGGGAAGAAGCTTTGTCGTCAGGTAAAAAAGAAAACAAATAAATAATTACTCTCTTTTGTTACTTATCAAATCATTCATTGCATGTACGTTGATTGTTAAAAGTAATCTAGTTCTAATTTTGTTATTGAAGTGTCGGAGCCGACTCGCTTAATATCATGTGGATCAAAGAAAAGTATAAAAATTTCTATTTACAGTATTTTAAAGATATTACTTTATTATGTATCATCTTTTTGTAATTACATTTTGTAATTAAAATAATGTTTTTATAATTATTGTAATAACCTTTTTAAATTAAAGAAAAGGGAAGAGGTTTTGTCGTCAGGTTAAAAAAAAACAAATAAATAATTACTCTCTTTTGTTACTTATTAAATCATTCATTTCAAGTACATTAATTGTTAAAATTAATCTAGTTCTAATTTTGTTATAGAAGAGTCGGAGCCGACTCGCTAAAGATCGTGTGGATCAAAAAAAAGTATAAATTTTCTTTTTCACAGTATTTTTTAAGATATTACTTTATGATGTATCATCTTTTTGCAATTACATTTTGTACTTAAAATAATGTTTTTATAATTTGTGTTATAACCTTTTAAAATTGAAGAAAAGGGAAAAGGTTTTGTCGTCAGGTTAAAAAAAAACAAATAAATAATTACTCTCTTTTGTTACTAATCAAATCATTCATTTTAAGTTCATCAATTGTTAAAAGTAATCTAGTTCTAATTTTGTTATAGAAGAGTCGGAGATGACTCGATCATAATTATGTGGATCAAAGAAAAGTAAAAAATTTCCTATTCGTAGTATTTTTTAAGATATTACTTTATGATATATCATCTTTTTGCAATTACATTTTGTACTTAAAATAATGTTTTTATAATTATTGTTATAACCTTTTAAAATTGAAGAAAAGGGAAAAGGTTTTGTCGTCAGGTTAGGAAAAAACAAATAAATAATTACTCTCTTTTGTTACTTATCAAATCATTCATTTCAAGTACATCAATTGTTAAAAGTAATCTAGTTCTAATTTTTTTATAGAAGAGTCGGAGATGACTCGATCAAGATCATGTGGATCAAAGAAAAGTATAGAATTTCTTATTCGCAGTATTTTTTAAGATATTACTTTATGATGTATTATCTTTTTGTAATTACATTTCGTACTTAAAATAATGTTTTTATAACTATTATTTTAACCTTTTAGAATTGAAGAAAAGGGAAGAGGTTTTGTCGTTAGGTAAAAAAAAAAAACAAATAAATAATTCCTCTCTTTTGTTACTTATCAAATCATTCATTGCATGTACATTGATTGTTAAAAGTAATCTAGTTCTAATTTTGTTATAGAAAAGTCGGAGCCAACTCGCTCAAGATCATGTGGATCAAAATAAAGTATAAATTTTCCTGTTCACAGTATTTTTTAAGATATTACTTTATGATGTATCATCTTTTACATTTACTTTTTTTACTTAAAATAATGTTTTTATAACTATTGTTATAACCTTTTAGAATTGAAAAAAAAGGAAGAAGCTTTGTCGTCAGGTAAAAAAGAAAACAAATAAATAATTACTCTTTTGTTACTTATCAAATCATTTATTTCAAGTACATCAATTGTTAAAAGTAATCTAGTTCTAATTTTGTTATAGAAGAATCGGAGCCGACTCGATCAAGATCATGTGGATCAAAGAAAAGTGTAAAATTTCCTATTCGCAGTATTTTTTAAGATATTACTTTATGATGTATCATCTTTTTGTAATTACATTATTTACTTAAAATAATGTTTTTATAACTATTGTTATAACCTTTTAGAATTGAAAAAAAAGGAAGAAGCTTTGTCGTCAGGTAAAAAAGAAAACAAATAAATAATTACTCTCTTTTGTTACTTATCAAATCATTCATTGCATGTACATTGATTGTTAAAAGTAATCTAGTTCTAATTTTGTTATAGAAGAGTCGGAGCCGACTCGCTTAAGATCATGTGGATCAAAGAAAAGTATAAAAATTTCTATTCACAGTATTTTAAAGATATTACTTTATGATGTATCATCTTTTTGTAATTACATTTTTTAATTAAAATAATGTTTTTATAACTATTGTTATAACCTTTTAGAATTGAAGAAAAAGGAAGAGGTTTTGTTGTCAGGTAAAAAAAACAACAAATAAATAATTACTCTTTTGTTACTTATCAAATCATTTATTTCAAGTACATCAATTGTTAAAAGTAATCTAGTTCTAATTTTGTTATAGAAGAATCGGAGCCGACTCGATCAAGATCATGTGGATCAAAGAAAAGTGTAAAATTTCCTATTCGCAGTATTTTTTAAGATATTACTTTATGATGTATCATCTTTTTGTAATTACATTATTTACTTAAAATAATGTTTTTATAATTATTGTTATAACCTTTTAGAATTGAAGAAAAGGGAAGAGGTTTTGCCGTCAGGTAAAAAAAAAACAAATAAATAATTACTCTCTTTTGTTACTTATCAAATCATTCATTGCATGTACATTGATTGTTGAAAGTAATCTAGTTCTAATTTTGTTATAGAAAAGTCGGAGCCAACTCGCTTAAGATCATGTGGATCAAAAAAAAGTATAAGTTTTCCTATTCACAGTATTTTTTAAGATATTACTTTACGATGTATCATCTTTTTGTAATTACATTTTGTACTTAAAATAATGTTTTTATAACTATTGTTATAACCTTTTAGAATTGAAGAAAAGGGAAGAAGCTTTGTCGTCAGGTAAAAAAGAAAACAAATAAATAATTACTCTTTTGTTACTTATCAAATCATTTATTTCAAGTACATCAATTGGTAAAAGTAATCTAGTTCTAATTTTGTTATAGAAGAATCGGAGCCGACTCGATCAAGATCATTTGGATCAAAGAAAAGTATAAAATTTCCTATTCGCAATATTTTTTAAGATAATACTTTTTGATGTATCATCATTTTGTAATTTTCAATTTTATTCTATTTTTAGCTGTAGAAAAAATGCTGCTTCAGTTAAGTGAGTTTTATCAGTAATTTTTTTGTTTTTTGAGTCTTATCATTTGTTTTTTTATTTTAGTAAACATGCATGTATCCAAGACTATTGGCCATATCGTTTTGATTGCTATATAATTTATCTCATTGTTTAAAAAGTACTATTAACAATCAATAACAATTTCGACTTGAATTAATTGTCTTTGATATGTCAATCAAATTACTTTGTCTTATGCAATAGGCAACTTAATACACACATATTTTGGTATGTGTTTTGGGCACTGGTTAAATCATTTGATATCATGTCAGTGAATTTACTTTTATTATTGAGAAATATTTATAAAAATATAAAAAAAATAATTTTTTTTTTTTTTTTTTTGTAAAATCAAAGTTTTGCTTATGTTATAATGAATGTTTTCTTTTTGTTGTTTTAGTGGAACTGCAAAAAGATACCTGTACGTTTTTAATGTTATCGTTTATTTGTTGTAGAAACTTAAAGTGATCTTTTATATAATATGTTACTTCAATTTTAAAAAATTAAATCAATTTTCATTATATTTACCGCTTTAGTACTACGTGTGAAGCAATTAGAAGAAGATAAAGGTTTTTTAAGTTCTACTTTATACTAGATAGATATTTAAACTATATAAACTATCCTATTATTAAACTGAAATATTTGCATTTTCTTTTCAGATACAGTAACGTTATCTTCACAAGCCACAAAGGGTATTGGTAATATTTTGAGTGTGATACTTTAAAAATCATACATTACATATTCCTTACATATTTTGTTTATTCCAATGTTAGATTTGTCCTACGATGGCTATCGTATTTACCGTCGACGGCATCGTGGGCCCACTTCCTACAGCTCCTACAGGAAGTGGGTCAACAGTAATGGAGTTGACAACTCCTTCTTTAGTTGGAAGGGAAGAATGAGAGAAGGCGGCACGTTTGATACATTTTAGTGCACGTCTTACTCATGCAAAGCCTCTATTAAAAAAAATGATCGCCGTAAATGTATATCAACTCAATGTTTATAATACTCTTTGTTTTATGTTCAAATGTAAAACTGATTCTTCACCAGTTTCTTTCCATGATTTGTATATGTTAAAAGATAAAAATAAATACTTTTTACGCAAAAACAACTTTATTAAGGCAGCCATTTTTTCAAACTAACTTGAGCAAATTCTGCATTACTTCTCGCGGACCATTCTTATGGAACAAAATTGTCTTAAAAAACTTTTCTCAAGATTTTATCCAACAATGTAACTACAACTCTTTTAAACGAAAGTTAAAAGAATTAATTTTTACAATTGACGATCTATCAATTTACTTTTAATAATTTTTAATAGTTTTCCCATTTTACCTCCACTTATCAAAGAACTATTATTATTTTATAATTTATATATTTACCAAGAATATGTATCAATATATACGACAATTTATATGTTTATTAACTTATATAGTATTTATATAACTGATCTTTATATTTATAATGGGTTTTCTGAATATTTTTAATTTGTTTGTATCACGTTCATTTTAGCGGTTCTCGACGACAAGACCTTACGGTCTTCTACGAGTCCCCGCGTTCTTTTATTTCTTATTTACGATTTTTATTTTTTGTTATTTTCTTGTAACTTCTATATTTTATTTTTCAATTTGTATATTTATAACGGAATGTTGTTTAAAATGTAATAAAGAACAAAAAAAAAAAAAAAGTGACAAATTTTCAATGTTTTTAAACACTCTACATATAATCCTTTAATAACAGCCGATTTTGTCAGTAAACAGTGAAAACAATAAAGATTAAATTATTCAGAAACAAATATCTACAATTTCTGTATGTTGTAACATATAACATATATAACATGTAACAATATAATTTAGATTTAAAGGTCCTCTGGAGAACAATTACTTTTTTCCTTGAATACAGCATGTAATGTTGGATAAATATTGACATTGTGTTTGATTGAGGAGTTTCTTATCATTTGATACTGATCATCACTGAGATCACAATTAACTTTTAATGAAAGTGCTTCTTTCTCACTCATCATTATTGGTTCCCTGCTGTCCATACTTTTTCTGATTTCAGATGCTTTCTGAATAGACTCTTTAAACACATAAGCAAAGTCTTGTAAGTCACCTGATGATTTTGCACTTTTAATAGCAGCCAGAGCTAAAACCTCTGGATCATGCGCAGATAATCCAACAACTCTTGTTCGCTTACTTCTCTCTCCTAGATCTTTCCAATCTTTCTTTGGTCGCCCTCCACTAAACTCTTTTCTGCTTACATTGTCAGCTTTCATAACAATTTGAATTTCGGTTTGCAACCATTTCTTTTCTTCCATTAACAGCCTGTCATATGTTTTGTTTACTGCAATCCACTTAGCTTTCAATTTTATCACCAAAATTCGGATTTTTTCTGTTAATTTTTCACTATGCATTTTTTCACCATCCAAACTTTCTGATATCAAAATTTCCTCATAAAGGAAGCTCACAATATCCTTGTTAGTTATACAAATTTCTCTTACTTTGAGAATCAAGTCTATTATTTTAATTTTTAGATGTAATCACAAAGGCACATATTACTAACTAATTTTTTGGATTTGTAAACAACTTTTTGCGGATTTCTTATTAATTGCAAAAAACTTTAAAATTCAATTTCTCAAAAACGTGCTACTTTGGGGCGGGTTTTTTTTTCCGGGCATTCCTGTATATATTCAAGATACTTCCCCATCAAAATTCAGGGTGGACAAATGTGGACATTTTTAGAAAAAATAAATATTGTGAATATTATTTTCTGAAAACTTTTAATTTTTTCACAAATTGTGAAATTCGAACATTAATTTTTGGTGTTGATAAAAGTCCAATGTCAGTTACTTACCATATGATATAATATATATATATATATATATATATATATATATATATATATATATATATATATATATATATATATATATATATATATATATATATATTATATCATATATATATATATATATATATATATATATATATATATATATATATATATATATATATATATATATATATATATATATATATATATATATATATATATATATATATATATATATATGATATAATATATATATATATATATATATATATATATATATATATATATATATATATATATATATATATATATATATATATATATATATATATGAAAAAATGAAAGAAAAATTATTAAAAATGACCATTTTGTGACAATTTTAAGATCTACTTGAAAACTCTAAAATTTCTAGTGAATTTTTGCCCACAAACAACCTGCATATAACAAGCTCACAAAAAGAGTAAAAATTTACAAAATCATAAAAAATGGGTTTACCTTGTTCAGTATGCTTATAACAATCAAGATAAAGTTAAAAAACATCAAAATAAATTTAAAAAATTAATAGGGTTTTTGCTGTTTTTTCGTATCTGTGAGGCACTGTGCGCTGAAGCAAAAAAAAAATCAGTATTATCGCCAAAAATGTTTGATCTGCGCATGCTTAACGATGAAAAAATTCGCTTCGCGCGAATTTTTCGTCTTGTGGAAAACGGCCTTAACCCAACTATAAGTCTAATCTCGGTTTAATTAGTTTTTAATAAAAAAAACATATAAAAGTAGTTTGTTAATTTTGCTAAATAGAAATATCAACAAAATTGTGGGCACATTAAGTTCTCTTCAAATTTACCGCTTGGTATAATTTATTAACTGCTGATTTAAACAATAACAAGCGAAAAAAAAAATAGGGAGTTCATGATGACGATAACGATAAAAAAAACAGGCTCTATAAAATCTCGAAAGGGTTAGTGTTTGTAGGTATGCCCTACTCGTTGTAATTAAAGGAAATCATAAACAAGAGCCACGAATTTAAAATATCAATATTTAAAAACAAATTTTCTCTTAAAAAATATTAGTTATTGGGAATGTAACTTCATTGGGAATGTATTAGTTATTGGGAATGTAAAAAATATTAGTTATTGGGAATGTAACTTCAAAAGCAAATATTCTAAAATTTAAGATTTTACGGTAAAATTGAAAAAAGTTTCGGGCCTTTGCTGAAAACGGACAATAAAAACAATTTCTTAATCTTAAATGGATAAACAAAAACAGATTTAATGATAAAATTTTAATTGGAACATAAGTTTACATTGTAATAGAAGCGCCTTAAGATTTAACTAGGTATATTGATTTAAAAGAATCCTTTTAAAAAATATGAAATTAGGAATAGTTTTTTAGTCAGCATATATTGATACAGATTTTTTTAAAAAGATATAAAAAATACAAAGACAATGTTTAAAAAGTATTTAAAATATGTTTGTTTTATAAATATTACAGTATCTTTAGATGTGCGTTATAACTTCATTCGTGTTTGTTACACTTTATTCATTAAACATGAAAATGTTGTTTGTTTACATTGCGTTTTCGTTATGTTAAAAGATTTAGGCGTAAAACTGGAGACATTAAGCGTTATCATAGACAAATTCCTAAAAATAAAACTGCTACAATTACCAGTGATATAAAAAATATATGTGGCATAATCACCATTTGTTGCAATTGATTATGTAAAAATTTTTGAAATATTTAAAGTAATATTGAACAATATAAAAGGTTAATGTTAATATGATTAATACTTACAATGTATTAGTGACGACAATTGCCAGTATAGATTTGATAACCATCAATCCGGTATTACATAACTTCACCAAGCTATATGCATTTCTAATAACAACAACTGGATTGCTGGTATCATTTCCAAGCTATATGCATTTCCAATAACAACAACTGGATTGCTGGTATCATTACCAAGCTATATGCATTTCCAATAACAACAACTGGATTGCTGGTATCATTACCAAGCTATTTGCATTTCCAGTAACATTAAATCGTTGTTATATTTACCAACTAAATGCATTTCCAGTATCATTTGATTGTTGTTATCGTTACCAAAGTATTGCAATCCCAGTATCATTTCATTTTTGTTACCGTTAATAAACTATATGCAAAAAGATACCCAGTAGCAACATTACTAGCATAATTTTCTTCATTGAGTAGTAATGAAAAATAAACATTTTATAATAAAAACATATATCATTTACATTTACCAAATAATCATTTACAATATTAATATTACATGCAAGATTGCAAATAAACTTACCATCACACAAACAAATTGATCATATTTTTAAAAGTTGTTACCTTTTCACATTTAAATATCACAGGTTACTTTTCCAATATTTCAAAACCCAACTTTTAGTGTAACGGTTGAAGGACCGATTTTAGTTGTCTTTTCATTTTTGAAAATTTTTTATCCATTCATAACTGACTATACAAGAAAAAAATTTTTTTTTGCAAACCCTTAACTGGAAACAGAAAAACTTCAGCTTTCTGTTATTTGCATCTGGCAGTCATGACAGTTCCAGATAACATCTTCTTTCTCATATGCACACAGTGGAATACTTTCGCATTCACGATGAAACCATTTGTTACAAGTAAAACATTGTGCCATTTGTCTGAACAAAAAGTTAAAAATTTAAAATGAATTTGGTGTTATAAATAATATATACGCATACCAAAGTTAAGTGGTAATTTAATATCGACATTCATCTTCACTATGATAAATAGCCTTTGTAAAAACTAAAAATTTCTACATACCCCTTCAGTATGTGTAATATCGTCTTATGCACAAACATAATATTGTATATGATAACATACCTATTAAAAATATGCTCATCTTTTTGGGTCCAAAACATGCGACAGGAACAATGTAGAGGAATATGAAAACTCTTTGCTGCGCATCTTCTAAACATAGTTGGGGTAATTGCTTTTGGAAAAACATCTAACTGGTTATTTAGTATACAGTTTAAAAGATGATTCCTCATTTCATTTTGCTCAAACATATGAGTACTTGGTGGAATACCATATGTTTCTAGTACCTGGCGTGCCCAAGCAATAGCATAAAGTCCACAATCTACCCCATTTGTTTGCTGTTGTACAGGTAAAACTTTAATAACAATTTTTTTTTTGTGAACAGTGTAAGATGGAGCATATTTGTCTTTTAGTCTCAATACTTATTAAACCATGAAAAAGACTGTCGAAAATATAGATTTCTCCAGGCTTGCAATCATAAGTTGTAATGCAAACCCAATGTATATTTCCATCATGAAGAATTTGTACAAAAGGTTTGCTACGACAAGGATCAAAAGACATAACCTTTCCTTTAATGGGATCTTGAAGACCAACATCAATGTTAAATTGAATTGACATCATTCGTTGACAAAAGTGTATGACATTATCGTTTAGCATTTCTCCTTTAACTATGTCATTTTTTTCAACATTTCGGATCAAGGAGCATTTAAGATTCTGAATTCAGTGCACAGTGCTTTGAAGTTTGTCATTATCATTAACTATGTTGACTTTGTGGAATTCTTGGCAATTATCAAATGCTTCTCCTGTCACTTCAATTGGTTCCATGGAAACTGTAAATGTTTCACAATTATCATCAATAACATCAATAAAAATCTCTGAACTACAACATTCATTATTTACATTTGGTGTCAAATTGATATTTAAAGCTGCCTTAGTGATGTCGTGTTTTATACCAACTCTATTGGTCAACTTCCTTTTGCGTCTTACGGGAAGATTAACAAGACTTGGTAAATTAGATTTAATCCAAGTTTCAGGTTTTAGGTCTGGACACAAAATAACACCTTGCTCTCTTTTAAGAGTTTCTCCAAAACTTGTTTTAAGTTTATGAAGTTCTTGAAACAAATTGTTTATTGCTGGTTGAGAGTCACTCAAATTTGTCATGTTTATTATTGCATTTAAAAGTTCGCGACATGCAGCAGGAGTGTGACTTACTTGTGATTGACCATGTTCTTTACTTTGATCAAAGTACAAGATTTTACTATTTATGGAATGAACACTTTTGACTGCCTGAAGATTATATTTAGACACTTCCCAAGGTTTGGCATCATCAAGAGGCTTCTCATTGATATTTTCAGATATATCTTCAGTAGGCAAACGTGTAAAATGAAACGTTGTTGAATGATTATTTTCATCTGATAAGGGATCAATGATAAAATATGGTGAACTTCCATAAGATGGATCAAAAACAGACCAGGAAAGATTAAACTTGAGAAAAATGGAAAAAAAATGTTTGCATGGATAAGAACTAAATAGCCAAGAAGAGCAAGTACAACTTGGCAAATGATCAGCATCACCAAGATAGCATTGGTAAGTTTCTCTGCTATTAGACTGAAATGAGGCTACATTGTACAATCTGTTTGTTACTGCACTAATTCTGATTGAGTCCACACCATTTACTTTATCTATCATATTCATGCAATGTTTTACTAAAGGTTTTGGACGATTTGTCAAATAGGTCGGAATGTTTTCTTTATATTTTCTATAGGATGAATGTGTCCTTCTATTTTTATCTGCATAGCTAAATAACAAAAGTGATTGTTTAATTTATGTTCAACTAATTTACATTCAATAACTAAAAATTATTTGCTATTTACCAGAACAGCTTTATACTTTATACTTAAATATATAAAATCATATATTATATGTATGTAAACTCTCACTTTCTTTGTCGCTCTCTATATATTTACAATTTGTTGTATAATATTACTTGCACAAGTAAAATCGTAGAAAATAACCATTTTAAGGTTATCTTAGAGTCTTTGCTGTCATTCTACCTAAGGACTCAGGGTTCAAAAAATGATTGCTTTTCTTACCTAAAAGTATTAATTTTATTTTCTACTATAAATACATAAATTTTATTTCTTTTCAGACCTACGGGATATCAAGAACTAGAAAAAAGCTCTGGTACTCCGCATCCCTGATATCCCTGATCTCTCTCTCTCTTTCTCTCTCTCTCTCTCTCTCTCTCTCTCTCTCTCTCTCTCTCTCTATATATATATATATATATATATATATATATATATATATATATATATATATATATATATATATATATATATATATATATATATATATATATATATATATATATATATATATATATATATATATATATATATATATATATATATATATATATATATATATATATATATATATATATATATATATATATTCATGTGTGTGTGTTTATAGATCAGGGATGCAAAGTAGGTAGTTTTAGCTTAAAAATAACTAACTTGTCGTAATTGTGAGGAAGGAATTCCTCAATACAAATACAAAGCATAGCTGTGAGAGATGATGTTTTCCGTTTTTCCAAAAAACTATATTTAAAAGATTGGTTTTGTCTTTCAGTGCCATTATTAGTATTGATACTCCGCAATAAGCGTTGTCGCCTGTAGGCAAACACCCATCTCTAAAAAAGAAGAATTGTTACAAAAGAAAGGGAAAACTTGTGATCAGAGAGAATAAGTGTTGATAATTAAATCTATAAAATTGTTTTCGTTTAAATTAGTATATATTCTTTAAAATTTAAAACTTTTTATATAATCATTTTTATAAATGAAATAGGCATTAATGGCAATAATAATATAAAAATTTGAAAATTACATTAGTTAACGCCTAATAAAATAAAAATCCTAAGCCAATTAAAAAGTTAAAATATTGGAACAAAAAAGCCAAACAAAGTCATGTTGGCAATCAGCAGACTATTTTTTGCACCGGTCAGATTTATGGATTCGGTTATGAAGAGGCTAATTTGGCAACCCGGAGTAAATAGTATGCAAAATTATCTTAATAAGAACCTTCTTAATGATGAACGAAAATGAAAATATTTCAATTTTGTTTTATTTAAATGAAATTAAATCAACCTTTTGATTACATAACCAAGTGCTTTTTAAGTAATCAGCTAGTTTTGGGTTATTTTTCCACTCTTCTGATTCTTTTAATGAATTAACAGCATTTTGGCAAATTTCTTCAGTTTTAGCACAAGCAATTTGATGTAGTTTTAACTTAAATGCATCTTTTACCATATAACAACCATTAAAAGTTTTAGAAAGCCATCGTTCCCAAGATTGCTCTCGATGAAAGTCACAAATTAAACAGAACACCCTAAAAACAGCAAGTTGGATTTGGTTTAAATGATCATATAACAATAAAATATTATATAAAACACAATAAATGAATAACAACGTTAACCTGGAAACACTGATTCTATCGAGTTTATTTCTTCATTTGAATAATCAGTTAAGAAATATTTTGGTTGAAATTTAGGGTTCCATTCCTTAATGCACATTAATGCTTCTGTGATGGCCTCATTCTCACACACAAAAATGGCAACAACCTGGTAATCAATATTAGTTTTAACAACCAAAAAGAATAGTGGAAGAGCGTATCTAGTTGTGCGATATGTTGCATCAAGAAAAACTAGTTTAGGTCCATACCGTAAGAGTAATCTTTTCTGCCACATGTCTTGATATACAAACAATAATGAATCCTTAAGCTTTGAATCAATATTATCAATGATGTTGACGCCTTTTGGTCTAAATTTTATCATTGCCTCATGAAAGACTATTTTCCATTCACTAATTTTTTCAAGCAAACATTCTTGATCTATCAAAGATCTACGAAGTTTTCTTCTTGCATTGAGCATATGATTTCGAATTGTCTTATCCATTGGAAAGAAACGTTTGTTTGTCTTTTGTGGTTTGTCAAAAGTAATTTCTCCATGAACAAAAAACTCTAGATGTCGCCTCATTTCAGAAATAGTATTGACACCCTTTTTTACCAGGTCACCAATTTTTACTATGAGATCATCAGAAATAGATTGATTGATTCCTGCAGTCTACAACAACAAAAAAATATATTTTAGTAATAAAAAAAATTAAAAACAAAATCAAAAAAGCAAAAACAACTTAAATAAAATTATTAGATATATTAACAAAATTACAGCACTGACCTCACCAACTGGATGCTTCCTATGAACAGAAATATCAGGCAATAATAAAATATACTTTCTGGACTTATGTACATTTTCTGACTTAGCTAAGGATACACGGAGTTTTTTAGATGTTTCATTTCTTAACCGTAAAGAATTTCTTAAAAGCTATAAAAATTAGAAATAATTTGCTATAAGGTTTTCATACTAGAAAATGGTTATTAAACTGTTTAAGATCAGAGTATGTGTTTATGAACATAAGGATTATAGCGTGTCACACTAATAAATACCAATACCTTAAACTCTGGAAACTCTACAATTTCTTTTATATAAACAATGGCAGGACAATCAAACTTTTTAGTATCCTGAAGAATAACTCTACTTTTCTGACAGTAATGATCGGTACTCTATGCATTAGGAAAAAAAAATTAAACAAAATTCACATTGTTTATTAACTAAATGACAAAACAGATGTTAAAAATTGCAATACAAAACAATATTAATAAATCCAAAACAAGATTTCTTTAAACTATTCTTTTAAAACTTATTTATACTTTGAACTAAATTGAAATTTTTTTTTTGTACATACAGCTTTTTTATTTCTCATTTGTCTGTATTGAGCTTTTGCTTTAATATTTCTGTCTTTTCCATGTTGACAGTCAAGTTTTGTTAGAGCTGATACAATAAATGGTACTCTAGTGTATGGAAATTCCTTGTCCTCGTAAAACACTTTATGTTTTTTTTTTATAATTCTACATAATAATAAAAATTTAACTCATTACAATTTTTCAAGCAAGTATAAATAGAAGAAGTTTAATATTTGTAATTTATGTTTTAGCACAGTTTAGCTCCTTAAATTAATTTGCCTACCTTCAAAGTTATTTTCCATGGTTCCTAAGCAAACTACAACATAATGCAATGTGTGCAACATTTCATGCTCTTTAATTTTTGCACAAACATCGGCATATGTGGCAAAAAAATGCTTTTCAACAGAAAGAGTACAGTCAACTGCCATCATTGTTTCTTAAAAAAGTTAAATACACATTTTTTAATTAGCACTCTCATTACAAGATTCCTCAACCTTACTTAAGAGATCTTACCTTGTGAAAGTTCTAATTCAAGTGAACAACTATCTTCATTCATTTTACAGTCAAGAATAAATACCCGAATTAGGAAAATGTATTGAAAATAAGTTGAACTACAAGAAAATAAATATAAAATATTACTTATTTAATAACTTTAAATTTAATAAAAATTTACATCTCTAAAACGAATTAAAAAAAAATTACATACAATATAATAATAAACAATAAAGAATAGTTAACAATTAGAAATACTTTATATTTATTACGTGCGCCACGAGGTTTCAAAACTTTAATGTTGTTTGAAATAACATGAAAGTAACGCATGCGTATAACATTCCAAAAAACAGTTCTAGGTCTGCAATTTCTTCAAAATCGGAAATGTTAGAATGAACGACATTAAATAGCACTAACCCTAAAATTTATAGATGAAATTATAAACGGTAACCGGTTAAAATGACCTACTTTTGAGGGATGTTAAAGTCTGCTAACCCTTTTGAACGTCTTTTTCGCGTCCAATAACTGTTTCGTCCAGAATGCTTTATTAAATCCAGAATGCTTTATTAAATAAAAAAAAAAATCGCAAGTGCTAAAACTTACTAAAATTTTTAGTAACGCATTTTTAAAATTTGTTTATTTAATTATAAATAAGTCTTTTTACATAAACAAATAAACACATTCTAGCTATTTTTTATTTTTTTTATCAATTACTTGAAAATTGTAGTAATGTTGATACAGGTAATGAAATTTTTACAGATAATGGAAGAAACGGTTTAAAACTGAATATATGCTATACTATGTATATATATACTTGATATACTATTAGTATAGTATTGTTATATCAAGAACCAAGTTCTAACAATTTCAAAGATTTAGACATCTCATGCAGAATCGAATTTTTTAATAGGAAAACATGTTAATGATACATAGAACAATTATCCTGATAATTCTATGAAATCAATGTCTTTATTCAACAATATTGTGCTATTCTATAATGGGACCAGTACATTAGTTAATGATCTACTTGAAATATTGCCAAATCAAGGTTTGGAACTTTCCAAAGATGCAAGGAGAATTTTAAAAACATCTTATGAAAAGCGACTTATAGACAGGTTCTTGCTAATTAATATATATATATATATATATATATATATATATATATATATATATATATATATATATATATATATATATATATATATATATATATATATATATATATATATATATATATATATATATATATATATATAATATATATATATTAGTATATATATATATATATATATATATATATATATATATGTATATATATATATATATATATATATATATATATATATATATATATATATATATATATATTTAAACATTTAATTACATAAGAATTGTGTTAATATTGATACAGATATTAAAATTGATACATATATTGAAAGAAATAGTTGAAAACTGGGTATATGATATACTATATATATATATACTAAGTATATACTTGGCACTTGATATAGTATTTCAAGTTTAATAATTGATATACTATATCAAGAACCAAGTTTTGACTGTTTGAAAAACTTAAACATCACAGAATCTCATGCAAAGGCATTTTTCAAAAGAAAAACCTATTAATAATACAGAGTTTATGCTGATAATTCAATATAATTCAATATCTTTAATTAACAACTTTTAGTTTATGTTATTCGAAATAATTGGGCCAGTACATTAGTTAATAAACTTTTTGAAATATTACAATATCAAGGTTTGGAACTTCACTAATAACTAGTTACTTGATTTTAGGAATTAGTTATTAGTAAAGTTCAAAAGTTTTTACCGAGAAATAAGTCTAATTGAAAAAATTAAAACAGTCGTAACATTTATATAAGAGACAGGAGGATAGAAAATTTCCTTTACTCTAAAGGAAATTTTCTACCCACCTGTCTCTTATATAACTGTTATGACTTGTTTAATTTTTTGTAATTAGACATTTTTTAGTGACTTATCCTTTTTTATTATCTGATTTTCTAAAAGTATCCTTTAGAAGACAGATGTAAATAGTTTTTCTCTTTTATCATTCTTTAAAAGTTCAATTTGAATAATTTTAATTAAAATCAATGTTTATATTTATTATTTGATAAAATTTAGTTTTTAGTAACTTATGCAACTTCCCAGTGGGCACGGAAGTAAAAAAAGACGTCTTTTAAACGTCTTATACACGTTTTAGACGTTTTCTGAACGTCTTTTGAACGTTTTGGACGTATTTTAAACGTTTAAAAGACGTCTTTTTTACTTCCGTGCCTACTGGGTTGAAACAAGGATAAGAAAAATATATTTAAAGATGGAATTGGTTTATTATTTTTTTGAAATGATTTTTTTAATGATTTTTTGAAAATTTTTGGTTTTAGTTTTAGTATTTAGTAAAAAATATATATAACACAGCAAAAACATTTAAATCAGAATTTCAGTAGAACTATATAGGCATTTTAGGTAATTGCAGTTTTGGTCATCATTTACTTAATGGCCCATTACACAGTGGGCCAGACTCCCATATTTTTGGAAAAAAGTCGTAACTTTTTTTCCCTTCATCCATAGGCCCCAAAAATTAGTATATAAATTAATTAAATGATTATAATTTAAATGAGCTTTGTTTTTTGATGTGGTTGCCAAGGCAACCCCATTTGCATAGCAACACTTATTTATGCTTAGTTCCTAAGGGTTAATTTAAGCCAAATATTTCTAAAATTGGTATGCAAATTAATTTGATGATTCTAATAGGATTGAGCATAACTAATTGTTTTAATTTACAGTCACACTTTCATATAGGTACAGACATTTCCAAAATTATAAAGATACAAAAGATACATTTATAAACTAATATCATCTGCAGATGACCTCAATAAGTCAATAACTCCAGCTGTTAAGTTTTTTGTTTTGGTGTGATTTCCTGCTGTCTTTCTCAGAGATGCAATAAATGGATCAGATGTACACAAAAGTCGATTTATCAATTCTTGATTAGTTTTCACACGAGATGATTTTC